ATGCGGGCGGCGTGGGGACGATGAGTGTTAGTGACTTAATAGCCCTTGAGGCATCTATAAACACTGTTGATTTTGTACATTTTCATTCGTTCATGTAATTGTATTGGCCTGAGGAAGAATTACCGAAAACGTGCGTTCGCCATCTAGACTTTTCAATTTTAACATGGGAATATCTGTGGATTTTACACTTTCGATATATTCGTCCATTGCAGACAACCTCGTTTCCCTGATCGAGCCATTCGCCTCGCTGTAAACATAACTGATACATCCATAATTTTAACAAACTATTCGGCTTTGACTTAAAATCCATTTCGGAATCTTCTGGCAAATTATCACATGAAGCCCCACTTTTCTGATTTGTCATTGCACCATTATATTGATCACAACATCTAAATAACTGTTCTTTCTCCTTTCTCTTGAGACAATCTTCTTGCTCCGACCTATATTGCAGCTGTCAAAGCTGCATTTGACCAGCTGCTACAACTGGGCATTATTTAGCAATCCGATAGTTCCACGGCATTTCAATTGCACGCGTCCTTTTGAAGACTACAGAGCCTTAAACAATACGACCATGCATAATCAGTGTCCGTTTTCTCATTTTAAGAACCTTTCCGCATCTCTGTTGCGCAAACCGTCTCCTCGATGATGAAAGTTTTTCGCGCGCTAAATTAAATCACCGTTACCCTGGACGCAAATTTGTTACATCTGACGGCTGTTTATTCGGCGAACGCTAATTTCGCACGATAGGAGAAAAGACCCATGTGCCTGGATCTCAGTCATGCTTAACACTGATGTGGGTGACATATGGATGTAAACGGCTGTGTCGACTCCATTTGGCGTGTCCGTTTTTTTTGTTTGCCGCCTTGTCTCCGAAATGCTTCCTATAACATTAAACTGCCTGTCCATGCGAAATTGACCAATCATAGCATTGTGTTCCTGGGTTTAACACTGATGTGGGTGTCATATTGATGTAAACGGCTGTTTCGACTCCATTTGACCTGTTTACATTTCTTCGCTTGCCGCCTCGTCTCCGAAATGCTTCATAGAACTTCAAACTGCCTGTCAATGCGAAATTGACCAATCATAGCATTGTGCTCGTGGTTTTTTGCAGTTTCCCCGGGATTTCCCCAAAATGTGCCGTCCAATTCCTGCATTTCCTTCCATGGCATTTCATATAACCGTTTGCTATACATATACGGTAAGTTTGACTTAGTTAAAACTACCAGAAATGCCGACATTTTTGAAACAAGCACGAGCGGGACTATCTAGTGGATGAGCTTACTCATGAAATGCCAACCAATATTCTGAAATACGTTTTCGTTTCGAAAACAATAAGTACGTACGGTTATCTTTCAGCAGGATTTTATGATAATTCACTTACCTCACGATGCCGGTTTTCGAAAGAACTTCTTTTCCGTTCTATGCAAAAACCATACTTTGGCAAAAATGACTACTCACGTAGCATGTATTTTTCTAATTATATTTTTGATACCATTAAAAATTCAATTATATTCCAAGGGAAACATGCATATAAATATGCATTCTTCTGCTCACTCGGTAACAAAATACGTTTTCTTCCAATTTTATACTCGACGGCAGTGTATAATTCAGTTTTAAAGTTTCTAGATAATAGGTTGTTTAATACCGTGAAATGACCGTACATAAAACTTTATAAATCTGCATTTATCAGTGCGGTTTGAACAGTTAAAAAATAATTCAAATCCACTGCAAAATATAACGAATCCCATATAGTCTCCTCATAATACGGTAGAGGAATGTATCGTTTTCCATACGCAGAATATATACGACTTGTTATTTGGAAATCCTGGGTGCAGGTGTAACGGCCGGTCGTGTTCCAAATTATTCGCGAATTAGAAAATATTTTAAAAGCAAATTTTACCTTCTCTTTAAATATAAAATTGGTAGGAAACGTACTTTCCTTCCGAATGAACAATATAACTGGATTATCAAGAACCTCGGAAATGAATGATGAAAATTTAAGCTACTTAAGTAGTTCCTTTTAACTTAGTATATATTTCGCATGCAGTCGAAGAGAAATTATTTTGAAAACCGACATTCTGAGGTAACTGCATTCTTCTAGAATTATTTTGCACAATGATATGCTCTACAACACTACTTAATTTATCTTTTGAAACGAAAACGCATTTCGGAATTTTGGTTGACATTTCGCGAGTTAGCCTCCCTACTGAAAGATGCCAATGCATGAGCCATTTATATTTAACAAAGCGCGTTTCACAGGCTAACACACCAGCAGTGATCGAACTTGTGAGCGTATGCGGCCCATAATAGCCTAGTCCGCAAAATTCAAATAAATATGTCTGGATGTTTGGATGTTGGGTGGTCTACTTCACGTATAACCGCTTGCATTGCTTTCTGCATATTATGTTGCTTTGCAGCAGGCTCGTGTATCATGTGCCATTCAAGCAAGAAAGATTTCTACAATTTTTTAAATTTTGGAGGATGCCAACTGACGATGCAGGCACTGCACTACAACGTATACGTAAAGGTGACGCATTTGAATTTGTCAAGGTTCAACCAACGCAGTAGATCATTAAGGGAGTCAAAAAGGAGGAAACCTCAAGTCTTTTCGCATTCGCATGGAATTCCGGGTTCACAGTCAAATACACCTAACAGCCGTTGCTGAACGAACGCAGATATTGCACAGTGGGTGGAGATATTCTGGGATTCTATCGAACTGACATCAGTGTGGGTGTCATATTGCCATGCCCTAATGGCGTGGACTCACAAAGCTCGGAGGCTTAAACCAGGACAGGAGTTTTTGCTATTTAAATCTTCTAGGCAGTTTGCACGCCTAACCATTCTGCAGATACAAAGTATTATCCACGCGGGTTAGAGTAAGGTTGCCGTTTGGATAACTGAAACCCAGAACTTTTGGCTTACCATATTTCACTGAAACTGAGCTTCTCCGTAGGCATTTTATATCCTACGTGATGTTTACCCAACAAACAAGACTGTTTAAAATACTAGCATATGCAATCTTCTTAAAATTATGAAAAGTAGTTACCTGTCATTTAGAAACACAGTTGAAGCTGCAATAGACTGTCAGCGTTTAGCCACTGGATTGTCAAAACTAACATCTGCGAGCGTTCGTCTGCGACATGATCGACTGGACAGCCGTCATCAGGAATGACGAGAACTAGTCGGTCTCGGATGTTATTAATGAAATTCCGATGCCATGGCAGGAGACGACAGAAAGTTTATTTGCACTTTTCTTGCAAAGAAAATACGTCGGAAAATTTAGCTGACTTTTCCTGAAGTGAAAAGCCAAATAGGAAGCAGGAGTATGACGCAGTAACAACCACTTTCTATTGGGCGCTCATAGACGTGATCCGGCCGCACCTGCAGATGGAAAAATGTCAAAATTACCTGAAGGTTGGCAACTGTGTGAGCCACGAAATGCTTCATGTATCACTGACAGGCGATCTATTATCAAGCTGACTTTCACTACCATATTCACTCGCGTTTTGCGCGTGAGCGAATACACGCTGCTTCGAAGGACGGCAGCGACAAATAAATGGAAACCTGAGTAGTGGAGTGGCTAACTTGTTGACTCCTTTATCCATGCTAAATTACCTGTGTCGTGATACGGAGGTGGTCCTAACGAACACCTGACTAAACAATCCCTGTTGTTTTTTAACTATGGGTAGTTAAAAACACAAATGCAATACGATAGTACATGATTGGCTGTTAGCTGGAAATATTTTTGCCCGCAGAAATGTCCCTGACAATGGTTCTGAGATGTCGAAGCATCATACATGTGAGGAATTCTGCGGCAGCTAAATGTACTCAAGCATGTCTAAGTTCGCTTTTGGATACCAGCCATTTAAAGCCCTGCCCGTATATAGGGGTGTTCGTATTGAGTTAGCAATAGGTGCTTCCTTAAGTACTAGCTGCTTCGACAGAGTTTGACTTATTTATTTCAACTCAGCTGTGGACAATCCGATGAATTCGGTAAGATTCGGATCCGCGACATCAAGAGAAAGGCGTGAGTACAGCCAAAGCCCAAGCCATCTGAGCTACGAGGTGCTTAAACTCACGGTAGTTTTCACAGTTGGGTTAAAACAAACTTCTCAAGGCGAGTGAATTAGGCCCAGTTACGCCTGTGGATGCCAGTTGTTCAAGGTAAGATACGTGGCAGTGTTTTAGTCGACTTAATAAGTGTTGCCTCTGGAGGAGTTTGTAGCAAATAGCTAAATTGTCGCAAACAATGCAACGCTGTGTTCAGATATAGATGTCTTATAAACCTCATTCCTTTTAAAAAAACCAAAAATACATACTTAAGCGTGACATATAAGGGGAAAGTAACTTCCATGACAGTAAACATGTCTTATAACTTCCAGCGGTATATAAATCAAACTGAGGATGTGAGCAGTAGGATTCTTCATGAATGTATCTTGCCAAATTTGTTGTCCTCCTACGAAAACGCGTGTACAGTTTAGCACGTTAAGCAGGAAGTTATATAAAGAACTGTTGACAAGATTTTTTTGATTTATTTGAATCCATGTTAGCTGTATTCAAGAAGAAATTTAGCAGACCGTCCTGTAAACGTGTGATCACATCTATTAAACTCCGAAAGAAGGTGTGCATTTATAAGATTAATTTAAATTTGGTTACAACCAAAGCAAATACCCTATCACCGTTCTTCAAAGACGGGACGACTAAAAAAAGATGAAAGGTTAGTGGATTACTCCGACCACCGTTAAGCAGGACCATTTTATCCGTCATATGACGTCTTACATTTCAGATTTGAACATTATGTCATATACACTACGCATGTTTGAGTGGTCTTGTATTTCATTGACTGAAATAACACAATTAAAGCAGCACGTTTTTGTTATAAACAAACTTGTAGCTAGGACACGCCATGAATATCCCAAATTTAGTCAAAGCGAATGAAATGGTAAGGAAAATGCTTTATCTAATATAACCAAATTGATTCCTACGCGTATCTGAAACACAGTCAACTTGTTATTTTAATGTTAGCCAAAGTATTAAATTATGCGAAATCGGTCCATAATTTTTATGCTCTTAATATGTTACTATTTCTTTAATGCATAGCACATCCATTCAAATTTGACAAGCACCGTTGTTAAGTGCAAAAAAACGCATTCCTTATGACATCTTTCAAATATTTTAAGGCATACCGAGTCCACTTTGGCGATTCAGTGTTTGCTATCTCTGCAAATTGATTTTTTGGTGCAAAATACGTCTGCTTTAAATCTTATACTCAAAGAAAGGGCATAATAGTTTTTAAAAGCGTTTCTAATTGGAACATTTTATGATACCATGAACTGGCCGTTCATAAAACTTCATGTCTCTGCATTTATTAATGTGGCTTGTAAATTTAGCAATATAACTCAAACCAACTACCAGGTTTAAGAAACCCTATACTTTCTCATCTCAATACCGTAGAGAAATATATGGTTTTCCGTACTCGGAAGATATATAGCTTGTAGTTTAGGAAACCCTGAATGCAAATGTAACGGTAGGTTACATGCACAATTATTTAGAAATTGGAAGAGTTTTTTAAAACCGAATCATGGTCTTCCTTCTAGCCTAAATTCGGAAGACGACTTAATTGTTAACTAAAAAAGTAAAAGCATGATTATATTTATGCACGCTTTCCATGAGATGGAATTGAATCTTTAAGGGCATTGAAAAACGATGAGAAATATTCATGCTAAATATGTAGTCAATTTTCACAGGGAGTAGTCTAAGCATGCAGGCAGATGAACGTTTGTTCGAGACCCGGCATCCTGACTTAACTGAAATATTATAGAAGTATGGTGCAGGCTGGCCATTTTTACAAACCCACTTAATTTATCCTTTGGAAACGAAGAGGCATTTTGCAATTTCGGTTGATATTTTCTGGGTTAGCCCGCCTACTGCAGGTGTAATTAATAGATTAATCGTGCATTATTATAATTTAACCAGCAATTTATAATTTGCTGTTTGAGTGGCTATCTGTTCAGGTAACATTCCGCAAAATGTTATGTAAAAAAATGAACGTATTAGTCAGAGGTTAAATAATCTCTTAAAATTTAAAACTTGTTCGAAATCGCAAAACAGGTCGCAATTACAAATAAAACCTTAAGGAATCTGCACATAAAATATCATCTTAAATATATGGGAATTCCTGAAAACCAGGCAATGATGTGAGGGCAATAAAAATTCAAATCCTTCGGCTGTCTTTTTAGTTATATCCCCAAATGTGCAATTAGTTTACCACTTCAGTGCCCGTTGTCAGATCAGTCGACGTACAAAAGGCGTACTGGATTCTCCTGTGCGCGTGAGATTATTACGTCTCGTTGGAAACGATAAGGCCTAGTTCGTCGTCAGATAGCCTGCCGTCAGTGATGTTTACTTCCGCACAGTTCAGTTGGCCACTAAGGCGCTTAAACCTACTGGGAGAATAAGAGGTAGATTCTTTATGCAAGCGACCGCGAGCGGGTTTTTGAGGTTGAGATTGATCGACTCCATATCGAATATACACATATTAATAAAGTACTTAAACCTTCATAATTTGTGTACCGAGTTGTTGATACTAATAGTTATTAATACTTGAAAATCCGCTCAGTTAAACTGCAGCTGTCAGCTACGAGCGCTAAAAGTACGGAGCTACAGACAATGTCCTGAGATGTCTGATATTGTACACTCACGGCTATAAATATTACTCGCAAAATGGTACTTCATGTATTACGAGGAGCATTTAACGGAATTTGCCTAGTTTTCGAAACACACCCAGTGACCCTAAGATGGGATGGTCAGCGTGGATGATTTCTTTTTCGCGGGGTATTGTAAATTTTGCGGGTCAGTTGAGTCGACCCGCATAGAAAACTGCACAGGCTGAGAGGTGAGTTTAAGTTGTCTAACTGTCAGCAACATCAACAATTTCTATTGTATGTTTGACTTAAGAAATAGTCGGTAGTAGGTCCACAACGCCAACAGAAACACCAAATTCAGCCTGACAAGCCCGCATGACAACATCGCAATACGCCATGTGGGCTTTATACGCAGACATTAGGTTTTTGCTTAGCAAACAAAGAAGTTACAGGAGGTAGGCTTATTCATCAAATGTCAACCGAAATTCCGAAAATTGTTATCTTTTCGAAATAATGAATTAAGTAGGGTTGTAAAACTGGTCATCATGCAGCGTAATTCTATAATACTACAGTCACTTCAGAATGCAGACTTTCGAAAGAACCTCTTTCCAACTGAATGCAAAAACTATGCTCGCTAGAAAATGACTACTCACTTAGCGTGCTCTTTTCTCGAAGAATTTTGATGACCTTAATAATGCAATTATATTTAATAGAAGACATGCAAATATATATTCATTCTCTTGTCCATTTGGTATAAAATGACGTCTTTTTCCTATTTGATACTCAAAAGAAGGGTATAATAGGGTTTTAAATATTTCTTCTTGTGATATTTTTTAAAATCGGAAATAACTGCTCATAAAACGTCATGTCTCTGTTTGTATCAATGTGGCTTGTACAGTTACTGACATGGCTCAAATATTTGTTAAAGTTCATGAAACCCATATGGTCTCCGCTTAATACCGTAAAAAAATGCATAGATTTCGTACTCGGTAGATATATGGCTTTTAGTTTAGGAACCCTGAATACGAGTGCAACGGTAGGTTTGGCTCACAATTACTCGGGAATCAGATATGTTCTTTTAAGAAAAAAATGTAAGACGACTTCATTTTCCACCAAAGTAGTCAATGGATAAATATTTTTATTCATGTCGTCCATGAAATAAAGTTGAATTGTTAATGGGATGAAACATTGATAGTTAAATTTCATGCTAAATTAGAAGTCATTTTTTCAGAGTATAGATTTGAATGGAGCCGGAAAGAAGTTCGTTGGAAAGCCAGCATCCTGAAGTAACTGCTGTAGAATTACACTGCACGATCATTAGTTTTATAACCCCACTTAAATAAACTTTTCGAAACAAAAACGCATTTCCACATTTGAATTGACATTTAATGAGTAAGCTTACTTACTGTACAGGTTGCCAAGTGGCCAGCAGCCACGCAAAGGCTATTGCCGTCGTCATTTTGCATAATTTACTCTATCGTAAGAGCAAGTTCCAGAAGTTCTTTTGCATTTTCAACGGTGACGGAGTTGCTTTCTGTGTTTCTTAGATCCTACCGAGGCTAGCGTTGCAGTCAGAGCCGATTTAAATGCAGGTAGCCATTGGTGTATCGTAGCCTTCTTGGCAGTCCCTACATTCCATTTATCATGCATCACTCCCGGAGCACATATTCTGCACCGTAGAAATGGAAGAATATGTGACGGATTTCTTGAGCCTATTTGCTGTTTTTAGGTCTTTTACAGCTCCTTGTTTTTGATTGAACGCCTTGTCCAATAGCAAGTGAGATTTTTAAGCCTACTATGTAAGAAGAATGAGGCAAGCGACCCTAAAATGTTCCCTTACCTAATATGATTACCGTCTTTAGAAGGCTGACGTTAGATACTTATAAAGCACCAAGTTAGCAAGGTTCGAAGCGAAAACAGTTCACATACTCCAGTTGACGTCATTTAAGTGGATTTTAAATAGGAATTCGCAGACCAAAAGGCGCTTCGGCCACATGCTTTTAGTTCAAATCATATCGTTAAGGCATGCCTCCTTAGAATGATGCGATTTCGAAAAACTTGTAGACGTCTGCGCTGCCTCTGATTCCTTACTTTTCTTTTTTCGACGTGCTGAAGACTACCTTTTCAGTATCGACCTACGTATCACACTTTGCTGTTCTTTTGACTCTCTACACAAGGCGGCGCCGGACGTTATATCTCTAGGCAATCACGCTCAATGTTGCAGAATTTTTGGGAATTGTTCCCTACATATTTGTGTTGTTTTCGACAATGGTGCCGGTTATGGTATTATGCTTGTGCATTAAGCGGGGAACCATCACCGTAGGTGGATTGGATTGTGGTTGGTCGCCGAGCACGAGTAGGTCCACGCGTGTGATTTTAGCAGACAAGAAATTTATGGAAGGCTACAAGGATCGTCTACGCCTGCCGTGTTGATTATGCATATTGAAGAGAGAACTGTGGCTGCGGCAGCGGCGGCGGTGGTGGCGCTGGTGGTTTTAATAATAGCACTGACGATGATGATAGTTATTATTTTTATTTTTTTCTAGACCGCAAATGTTCCCTGTTTTTCGAGCCAAGATGTCGAGGTTGGCCCTACTTCCCTACCACCCACAGACTCTAGCCACCCCAAGATCCGTTCTACCAAGATTCCAGCGCGCAGTCAGTGTTCGTCGACAGAAACCCAAAAGGAAAGACTGAACCAGCTGCTATCCAATGCTAGACGCCGTTTTCTCAAAAAGTCTTTTCACCAGATTTGAAAATGTGTCTGCTTTTTAGAAAATTCCGCTTTTCTCCAAAGACTTTTCAAATCGCCGTTAAGTCCTCGCGGGAATCCTCAAACTGCTGTTTAAATAACTTTCCCCTTTCACTCCTCCTCCCTCATCCTGTGGTGTGATCGACCAGATTTATCTTTTGTACTTGCTCGTTCAGATACTCTTTTTGTATTTGTCCTACTCTCCGTCTTTGTCTGAATTACCCTCCTTTGCCCATTGCATTTGTGGCGCCTCTCATTTTACCCGCATTTCGTTTTTGCTCCGAGTTGTGACCCCTTTCTGTTCATGTGGTGCCTCGCGTCCTTTACATAAAGCAAACTCGTCAGCCGACAGTTTAAGAGGCACGATTAGGACTTGTTAGCGCCTGAGTGATTTTTTCTGCTCAACTGGCCCGCTGTTGTTGTCCAGCAGGGAACTTCTCGTCTCGTTGTCATTAGACCTTGAGAAGTTTAGCTGGAGAGTGCGTAAGACAATTTGACGGGGGGATAGTTTCCTATAGTACCTTGACCTGAGGACTAGCATCTCCACATGCCTCCTACATACATTACTTTAAGGCTTTGGAATTGAGCCGGATGACGGATGAGGTCTTGTCTATTGAAGGCCAACACTGGGGACGTCATTGCACCACTATGAGTTGTTGTTTTTTGTGCGTAACCGATTTGCTACCTCAGTGTCCAGCCATGCTACATGCCCGCGACTGCTTAGCTGTTAAACCTGGGAACCTAATTACTTTTCAGCTAACCTTTTTACGTTGTTTCACGTGTGAGCGCTACGGATAGGCCGGAGCTAGGCTGGCAGTCATCGTCTTACATGTGTTTTGTGGCTCTCCTGACCGTCCTCCTCGCGCCTATGTACAGTAGATGTGCTAACTCATGAAATGTCAACCAAAATTTCGAAATGCGATCTCGTTTCGAAAAGATAAATTAAGTAGTGTTGTAAAAATAATCATGATGCAGCATAAATCTATAATGATCCAGTTACCTCAGGGTGTCGGCTTTTGAAGTAACTTATTTTCGGCTGCATGTAAGATCTTTACTCTGCAAAAAATGACTACTTAAGTAGCATGCAATTTTCTCATTGATTTTCGATGTCCTTAAAAATTCAATTGTATTTCATGGGAAACATGTATACAATATTCATTGTTTTACTTATTCGGTGGACAATCACGTCTTTTCTCAATTTAATACTCAAAAGAAGAGTATACTTCGGTTTTCAAAAAGTTTCTAATTGTGAGATTTTTTAATACCATTAAATGGCCGTTCATAAAACGTCATGTATCTGCATTTACGAATGTGGCCTGTGAAGTTAACAATATTGCTGAAATCCACTGCTTAATTTTATGAACTTCATATGGTCTCCTCTTAACACCGTAGACCAATGCATGGTTTTCCGTACGCGGAAAATATACAGCTTGTAGTTTTGAAACCCTGAATGCAAGTGTAACAGCAGGTCGGGTTCAAAATTATTCGGGAATTAGGAAGGTTTTCTAAAACCAAATTATACTCTTCTTTTGAGTATTAAATTGAAAGAAGACGTGATTTTCTACCGAATAAGTAAAAGAATGAATATTTTTATACATGTTTTCCATGAAATATAATTAAATTTTCAAGGACACCAAAAATCAATGAGACAATTGCATGCTACTTAAGTAGCCATTTTTTGCAGAGTAAAGATCTTACATGCAGCCGAAAATAAGTTACTTCAAAAGCCGACACCCTGAGGTAACTGGATCATTATAGATTTATGCTGCATCATGATTATTTTTACAACACTACTTAATTTATCTTTTCGAAACGAGATCGCATTTCGAAATTTTGGTTGACATTTCATGAGTTAGCACATTTACTGTAGTTTCCGTCGGGGGAACCGGTCATGTGGTTGCTCTGTGTCGTTCGCCATCGGTACGTTCGACCTCGGTCGGGGGTCGTCCTCCAGAAATCTCCAAACCTGCTTGTGCAAACTCTGGCTTCCACCTAATTTGTGGTCGAAAACGATTGGCTTGGATGCAGCAAAGTAGTGTATAAGACAGGTATAGTTGACCGTGCGTAAAGTTCGAACGCCTGCCACTGATCTGTGCCAAGAATGTCGAAAGAATGTGAATCAAGGATTTGATGTCTATATTAGTGGGACCTGTTTCAGTGTCTAGGCTCTCCCTGAGTACTCCAAATTGGCACTTGAAGAAGTCTTCTTTCCAAACATAAGCTGGACTAAAGGGAGATAGTGGTTGCGGTTCACACCAGCGGCTGTCGTGTAGGCGCCAGTTTATCTGTCGTCGATGGATCATCCCGGGCCATTGTTCGTAAAATGTGGTATCGGGTCCTTTGCCCAGAGGAATGGAGAATATGCTCCTCCCTCCTATGTGATGCAGTTTGGGGGAAAATTATGAATTACCACATGCACCTGTCTTCTGTATAAAGGATTTTTCTGCTTAAAGGAATAGATGTCAATTGGAAAACCGGACGTGGGACCAAATAGCCTAGTGTACTCTACGCGCATCTGCTATGTGAAAACGTCATTAGAGTCCTCATGAGGCTAATGTGAAGTTAGATGCCGATTATCTAAGTAGCGGAATGCTGCCACATGCCTCCACTTCGGTCGTCGCGGATGGCGGTTTTCATTATGTGCCCCACGGCATGGTTGGCTCGGCAACGACTTGTGTGTAAATTAGTCTACAGTGGCGGCAGACTTGCGCATCATCTGCCGCACTGTCTCTTCTCCAAACCACCTGGGTCCAGTGGCAAAACCCAGTCAGGACGAGCGAAAATGGACTCGGGGGCAGAGGCTGACAAAGCTGACCAGCCCGTTTGCAGGTGTCACATACGGCTGGCTCGTGCGCTATGGGCCTTGTTTTTTGCAGAAAAAAGAGGGGACGACTCGGGTCCCATCTGATTTTGAATGCCATAGACGCCAAATCAAGAAGGAGCCATCGCAGCCTGATCTTACTCTGAGAGAAATGGGCTGGCCAATCAAATGGCAACCTTCCAAGCCACAACCTTGAGCTCGTTGTGATGGGCTCGGGTGCATAAATATATAATTAAATAAATAGATCGTTTTATTTAGCACTCCCTCTCCCCGAATGTGCTTTCATAGTACGTAAAAATGAATTTTCGTGTGAATTTTAGGACGAGTAGTAAGACGCTGTAAGGTGTTCAGTTCGTGTTTATGAAGTGGGCAGTCTATTATGAAAACTGTTGACGGACAGGGCAAAAACTGCCTTGTTCCCTCGGAAAATCCAGATTACATGGGATTAAATGAGTTCTTTGGGAGGGAAAAACTGTTGCTTATGGGAAGGTAAATGTGCTGGTTGGACTGGACTGCCCCGCAGGTAAGAGTATATAAAGATTCAGAGTGCTTCCCATCAAGGTTAAATTCCGAAACCGGGTGAGCCTGTTCCCTGCAGGTACGATCATAGCAATGGTCAATTATACAGGCAGGTAGATGGTGTGGCGATTGGATCACCGCTTGGACCGTTCCTTGCAAATGTTTTTATGGGCAAAGTCGAGAAAACAAGCTTGCAAGAGACCATTAATGGCCTCGTCTTTTACCGTCGGT